TAATTTGGGACTTCATTAGGGGATATTATAGAATAATTTGTGTTGGAATAAATCATATGTCTTTGCCCTCCAATAACATAAACTCTTGATGGTTAGGAACTAAATATAATAATCTTTGAACCTTGCCCATAATGCTCAGCACAAATACACATGAAAATCTCACTTGGTAAATGGTTATTGAATTAGAAAAATACTAGAAAGGATGTTTTCATTGGATTACAAGCCTACACACTCACACATATATATTATTTCTGTAAATAATATATATATATTTTTTTCTTTTACCATAAAATACCATACTACACAAGAACAAAATAAAGTATTACAGCAGAACACACTGTAGTTCATTTTATGTAGTCTCAAGTTAATATTTTTTCTGTGAGATTTTTAAGATTTGATATGCTAACAATACGGTAAAATACCCAGCACTACTCTGAATTTCTTATTTAATAAAAATATTAACTATACCCTAATATCAAAGAAAAAAATTCTAACGTAAATATGTGTATTTTTCCCCTGTTTACATTATTTTCTTAAAACAAAGGGCCTCAAATTTACTATATTTCACCTTGTGGATTTTTTTTTATTTTTTTTATTTATTTTTTTTATTTTTGTACTTTAGCTGTTCCCATGCTAAAGCATACAATTTAATCTTTTAATTAATTTACATTTTAAAGTTAATGACATGGAAATCATAGTATTGTTTATAGCATATCTCTCAATTTTATATTAACAAAAAAGACCTAGACATTGTATCTATTCAAATTACTAAACTAATATTTGAAGACCTGATGTTTTGACACACTACAGGATCAACATTCTTTTCATGTTGCTTCTACCTTGACTTTTTAGACAATAAAAATTACAGATATAAATGGAATAACTTACTCTTCTATCAGAATAAAATACTTAAGACTTTCTCAAGCTTCGAAAGATGCTGACTATTAAACATTATAATTCTTTTTTGTCTCAAAGGACTTAATGCAAGTTAAGTCTCTCATCATTTTAAAAAACAAATAGTATTTGTGAATACTATTATTTCCACTGTTAATGAAAGCTAAGACTAATTTTAGTGTCATATATTCTATTTAATAAAAATCTAATCATTCTTACCTGAATCTAAACCAATGATCTGAGAGACTATGAAATAATTGTGAACAATATAGTATTGAAAATGAGACATGAATGCTTTTCTGAATATTGGTATGATTTAAACAGACAAGTGCAGATAAATCTAAATGAATATTGCTTTGAGTGGCTTATAATTTTTAAACTGTCACATGTCAACATTAAAAAAATAAAAAAGTAGTACATTTCTGTTAAGTGCAATTGCTTCTAGCTCATATAAGATATCCATGATGACATTTTAAAAGTTAGCTTTTAAAAACAAATTATTTTTACTCATATAACCATTAACTCTTCTCTGAATGAAGAGAACCTAGCATATAGAAAGAATTCAACAAATATTTTAGAATGAATACACATATGAACATTGTTTATATGTGTGTATATAAATATAAACTTACATGTATATAATTACTAACACAAATAGACAAATGGTTATGGTAATTATTTTTATAGTCATGTTTTGAAATTAATAGTTATGTCAAATCCATGGAATTTCCTTATAGTCAAAGGTCATGATAATTATATTTCAGTTAATCTTTTTTAAGTTTTTACATGAGGACATTATCTTCTAGAGTGCCAGTGGTTCTCAACCTTCCTAATGCCGCGACCCTTTAATACAGTTCCTCATGTTGTAGTGACCCCCAACCATAAAATTATTTTCGTTGCTACTTCATAACTGTAACTTTGCTACTGTTATGAATCGTAATGTAAATATCTGATATGCAGGATGTATTTTCATTGTTTGCGAACCACAGGTTGAGAACCGCTGTAACATATTAAGTGTGCTTATCTTAATATTGAGAAAAAATGTTGTAACTATTTTTTTCTGGTTTGTCACTCCAAACCAGAATGTGACAATCAATTATTTGGCCAGGTAAAAGTAGTATATTATATCATAATGGGCTCTGATTTATTTAAACAAACAAACATTGTGAATGTAGGTGAATTGTAGGTAGGGGTGAGGATAGAAATCCAGTTTAATCAAGCTGTTTTTGTTACTCTGAAGTAAATAATAGTTTAAGTTTCACATATTGTACCATGATTTGTAATTAAGTGTGATTCCTAGAAATTAACTTTAGCTTTTGTAAGTCTTTTTCCTCCTTCCCTCCTTCCCTCTTTTCTTCCCTCCCTCCCTCCCTCCCTCCCTCCCTTCCTTCCTTCCTTCCTTCTTTCCTTCCTTCCTTCTTTCCTTCCTTCCTTCCTTCCTTTTCTCCCTCTCTGTCCATCTATTACAACCATTCCCTTATAGCATAATTTTACAAGAAGCTTCTTGGTGTTTTGTTTATATTGTATTCTCTAAAATGTTATACTCAAGCAAAGTATCAGAATTTGATATTTTGATATTAAATATTTGTACTCTAGGGATTCTTTCTGTTTAAAAAAACCTCCTTGCAAGTCTAGTTTATTTAAAAACCAGAAGTTTAGAAATAGATTAACATGGCTTACATTTCTACTATAATAATATTATACATTCCTTTAGTTTAACAGCATACAGTATATTTTAGGCATTTATAAGGAAAGACTTCTTTGGACACAATTTTTCTCTTAGTGACTTGTTTACTTAAGTCTATAAGACTATTCATTGTAAGTAAACATTTAAATTTTCAAATTTAATTATAAAATGTGATGGAATATATTCTTTGACAGTAAAGTTCATAAAAAGAGTATTTTGGATTAAAACATCAGTATAATGAGTCATTAAACACTTCCAAGAACATTATTTATTTAGACATAACGATTTATATTATAGCCCTTTAATTTTAGTTTGTTAATTATAAATTCAGTTTGCAAATGCCCATGTGGTCAGTCAATATCAGTCAGAGTGGTAAAATCAGACACAAAGTCAGATTTTACCTGTTTAAGTACCAATCTATAAATCCCATACTTGGTTATCTTTTCAGAAGTGATTTGCATACATTTAAATAAGCGTGGACAGTTTTAGAGAGGAGTATTTGCATTCCTAATGAGAAAGTACAGTCACCAATGAGAAACCTCCCTCACATTCTCAGAATCACTTGCATTTCACATTTCTCTCCACGCAGCTGAATTAGACATAGTGCATCTTTTGCACATCTTTACCTCCAATTGACTGTAATGCAAAACCTGAAACCTCTTCAATTGCAGTAGGGGACACAAACACCCAAGGCTGAAAAACATTGAAGGGGAGGGTCCCTGCTTTTCCAGAAACGTCTAAGCGTGGAAGGTTGACTCCTGACTCCTTCATCTACCACTCCCCCAACTCCTGCCACTTTGCCGTTTCCCTCCCGTGCCCTCTGCCCACTTTGAATATTTCCTCTACCCTTTTTAATACCGCTACTTTCCCTTCTCGGTTCATTTTTCTCCTTGTCATACCCCCCCTTCCCCCCCCCCCCCCCCCCCGCCAAAACATTCTTATGAGCTTTGAGGAGGGCCTAAGTCCCTTCAAGAAAGAAAATAAGGATGATAATAACAGCGAATGCAGCATTGGAGAATTCCCCACACTGGCAATACAGGCTCCTCCGCGCATTGTTCACGCCCGATGTTTAGCCTGAGAACATTCCTCCTGTCCAGGGGTGCATCCTGCGAGAGCGATCTCCACCGGCGAGCAGCGGAGGCGTTTTTGTTGGCGACGAACCCCCTCTAGCGCCGAACTGGCAGCACCCGAGCCGCGCTGCTGGGCCGGCAGAGCGCCGAGCTGGCGGAGCTCCGCTGCGCTGCGAGCTCGGCCCTGCCCTCTGTGCCCGCCGCTCCGGGGCGAGAGCGCGAGGGCCACGGACGCCGAGCGCCCCTCGCTGTCGGCCCTGCGTGCTGCCCCGGCCCCGGCACGAGCGCCGCGCGGGTCCCCGCAACAGCCAGTGCGCGGCTCCTGACCGACCCCTGCGAGCGCGGCGAGGGAGCGGGACCGCGAGAGGGCGGCTCACGCGCCGGAGCGGTCCATCCGCCACGCTCTCCACGCTCTCGGCGCCGCCGGGGACGTGGCCACGCGCCGCTCAGCCCTGCGCTCCTCGGGGCGCGCGAGCCAACGCTGCCACGCCGCGGGCGCCCCGGGCACCAGCATCCCAGCGCCCGCGGCGGCGACAAGGCTTCCATGATCTTGACCTCCAGCGCGAAGTCGCCACTACAGGCGACGCGAAGACCTCGGTGAAGCCGGGCCAGGCACCGGGTCACGTCCAGCCCGTGCGGCTCTCCGCTGCCGGCTCCCTCCCGCTGCTTTCCCCGGACTCCAGCCGCGGAGGAGGCCCCACGGCTGAGGCGCTCGCTCTGGTGGGCAAGTTTGGACGAGGCGCGCGGGGGAGCGGTCCGGCTGGTCCGCTACCACCAGGCTCGCCCTGGACCGAGAGCGCCCACAGCGCTCTCCCCCTCCAGCGGCGGAGACGTGAAGTCTGGGGAGGCGGTGTCCGGGGCCGACGAGCCTAAAACGCTGGGCGCCGCCGCCGCGAAATGGGGAGCAAAGTGCTTGGGGGACGAAGTGCGGCCTCAGCCACGCCGGGGAAGCGGCTGCCCGGGCCGAAGCGCAGCGCAGACGCGGCCGAATTGGAAGTGCCCGCGGCTGCCGTCGCCACCCCAGCGAGGGGCTGAGGCGCAGTTCGTAGCCGCCTCGGACCACTCGCGGCCCCACGCCATTCGCGCCGCTCGCCCCGCACAGGCCGGAGGAAAGTTCCCGCGGCCCCCGCGCCGTCGGCGCCTCCCCCACCTTGGGCTCCGCAAGTGCCCACTCGAGTCCGGAGAGGCTCGGGCCGCCGCACCTGGCCGTCCCTCCCCCTTCCCCGCCCGGAGGCGCCCTCCCCCGCCCCTCGCTTCCCTCCCCCAAACCACAGCCCGAGCTCGCTCCTGCGCGCGCGCTCTCCCAGGCCCAAGTGAATAGTCCTCGCGCGAGCGGGACGCGGTGGTGGATGCAATTCCGCTCGCCCACCGCCGCCGGGAGCTCCCTGGCGCCGCAGGCAGCGTCCTCCTCCGGAGCAGCGGCGCCGGCACCTGGACAGCCTGGACCTTCGTGCCCTGCGCTCGGGGCCTCGCGCGGGGGGCGCCCCGGGACACCCCCTGCGGGCAGGGTGGAGGAGGAAGAGGAGGAGGAGGAAGACGTGGACCAGGTCCCCTACCCTACACGGAACACCTGGCTGCGCGCCTGCCACTTCTCTTTCAGGGGGAGGAGAGGAGAGCCTGGGAGAGCCATGGGGGGCTGCGAAGTCCGAGAATTTCTTTGGCAATTAGGTTTCTTCTTGCCTCTGCTGACAGTTTGGCCGGGAGACTGCAGCCACGTCTCCAACAACCAAGGTAAGGGACGGGGGCGGAGGAGCGGGAGGGGCCGGAGGAGGTGGGTGCTCTGAGCACCGGTGCACTGGTCGCCTTCTGCAGGTAACTTCGTCCCGGTATAGTTTCCCCAGGCTCTCTCCCAGAAGGGTCCAGGATGTGCTCTCTCCAGAGCGCCCTGTCCACATGGCCTGGGACCGCGACCTGCCCGACTTCGGTCCCTACTGCTTCCACTTGTCTTTACGGGGATGCGTGAGCCTCAGCCGCAGCAGCCGCCGCCGAGGACCGCTCCACAGGAGGCCAGCCTTCCTGGCACGCGCTTAATGGAGACTTCTGGTCTTGGTGGCCGGCCGCCCCGAGCTGGTCAAGTGTAGGGTCTCACATGCCTTCAGGAAAGCAGATTGCTTTCGCTCTGCCCTGGGTCCAGATACTTGCCTTTGCCCGGGTCCCTCTGCTGCCCTCGCCTCTCCGCATCCGGCCCCCTGTCCCATCCAGACCGAGCGTAGTGGACTTGTTTGAAACCATTCCTGGGTCAGTGTGTTTGTGGTTTCTTTTTTCTTGTGCGCAAAGCGGGTAGAGGGAGAGAAGCGTTAAGTGTGAATATCCAAGTTGTGAATATCCTATTTCCGAAATCCAGTCTCTGGTAAATTTTTTTTTTGGAAGAAGACTGTTTTAGTAGGTAAAGTGGTAAAATAAAGGTGTGAATAGTGTGTGAAGCGTGAAAGTCAGGTTTACAGAATGAGAGGTCATTAGAATTTTTTATTTTTTCTTTTCTTCTGTTCAAACTATTCTTATGAGACGTATCTTGGATCTGCTATGATTTTTAAAGATCTATAAAAATATCACCTGCATAATCTAAACCCTCTTAGACTAAGCAGTGAACAACCGTAAAAGTTTTCCAGCATGTACCTGGCTGGATGCTCTCATTGGCAATGTGATGACCACCAATATGTCACCTGTTATGTCACACTTGTCTAAAGACTTCAGTTATAAAATTTCAGTTATAGTTATTATTTAACATATAAGGCCTTGGAATAATCTGCAGATATAAAAATGGAGCTCAGATGACATAGAGTGTGCACATTTTTGTGAGGGTGAGAAGGTTAAGAGAGAAGGCAAGTAAAATAACACAGCTTTCTTTTTGCCATAAACATATATGACCATTTACTTTTATTTAGGAATATTCAGAATCAATATTCAATTGCTTTCATTTATACAATTTGTATTTTTGGCATGTTTTCCTTAACATTTCTATTTTTGCAATGTGTGTTTGTTTTTTTACCTGCCAGATTGCAATCGCAAGTGCCTGTGTAAATTTGGAAATCATACACCACTATCATGTCTTTGAAGATGTATCACCTAAGTGCCCCCTATAGTTCCATATTCTCCTATTCTTCACATATATCCCTCAATTGTTTTTAACAGGTATTGGCATTAAATATCAAAGGGGTAGTTAACTGAATCAACCTGTGTGAAAATAGATTGTTAAAAATAACAATTATTTACTTAGTCTTTTTACATTTTAAGGAGAGAAAAATAATTTTTAAGTATTATACCCTATGTTAGTATCTAGGGCTACTAAAAGAGATACATACTTTGAGAGTCAAGTTTATTAGAAGTATTTAAAAGTTATTTCCATGCAGTAGTTTCCCTCAGTCAACATGTGTTTATTCATTAAGTGCCTAAGAGACATCAGTGACCACCCTAAGCCTCAAGGATACAAAATACTAGTAAAACACATTCTGAATCTACAAATGACTAATGTGCCATTCTACCAAAATATGTCCAGTATTAAAGTATAATCTTTCAGATATTCATGTTAAGGGCATAGAAGAGTTACTTGTTAACCTCTTGCAGTAATATTTTTATATCTATTTTGATGACTTTCATATACTTTTAAAAGACATTTTACCTACAATATTTACCAAATATGTATAACGTATGGGTGTTTTTTTTATCAATTAGCTTAACTTAATGATAGTGAATGAATATTACTCAGTTTACCTATCTATTAAATAGGATCATTAAAGATAGTTTAGTGAAACTCTTAATTTGAATTTCTGTTCATGTGCTAAAAACAGGCTATGCATAAGGTTACATTTGGGTAAAATAGTAGCTTAAGGCCAAGTTGGGTAAAATTTAGAATCTTCAAAAGAAGACTCAGGAGAAAGTTTGCTTAGATTTTTTCATTAGACATAAATGGTTACTTATAAAATGCTTTTTACAACCTAAGTCACAGTGATTAGAAATTATGCCTTATAATACCTTTAAATAACTTTCAAATACTGAATCATCACACTAATAGTTAATAAAATTTCAAACTTCAAAATTTTATTCTTGTGGACATTTTGGGCATATTTTTTTAATTTGTAGTTTCATAGATAACATGAATCAAAGTACAACTTTCCAATTTTTGAACCTTGAAAACATGGGGTATTGCAGAATCATAATATGTATAAAATATATAAAGATTAATGTGAAATATAAATTAGATATGTAATATACCTAATAACTATCAGTAATATGATTAATAGTTAATTTCAAGAAAATGTGTTCATTTTCCTAGTAACTTTTCATTTTAAGAGCTAATGGAATTCATGTTTTATTTTTAAAATTTGTTACTTTATGAAGGGTAGAATTTTATTTTTATGTTACTTGGCCTTTTACTTAAGGATGTTAACGAAGTAAGTTTTTTAAAAATATTATCTATTTTTACCAAATTATATAAAATTCTTCATGATTAAAATGAAAGGATTCACCTTCTTCCCCTCCTCCTAGTTTTCCATACTTAGACTGGGTAAAATAATGATAATGACAAAAAAGTGAACTACCTCATTTTTAACATGGTGCTTAACATGGTGCTAAGAGTAACTTGACTATAGGAAGCAATCTTTTCTCTTGTCTTTTAACTGGCTGTGACGCTGTGCACTATAAAGACGAAATAAATCAATTTGACTCTGTCTTCCTGTTACCCAACCTCCTTGAATTGATCAGAAAGTAGAGTTGCTTCCTAGATCGCTCATCTGTTTAGTAAGTGAAAACATGATTTGTGTTCATATTTCTCTTACTCTAATAATTTTCCCTGTATTTGAGACCTTGGTGTTTATTAGGTGTTGGCAATTTTATTTTAAAATAACACATTTTGTCTTCTCTATATAAACTTTTATCTCTGTACTAACGCTTAGGTGAATATAAAATACAGTTTTGTTTCATACATAAGTAACCATGTATATCAACTAAAGTGCTTAGTAGCCACCAGGGGTCCATTTATTCAAAGATTACTCTACCTTAGCAAATAGTACTGTATAGCCTGAAAGAGTTGATGCATCTCTCAGGGTGTGGCTCATCATCAATCAGATACTCAAGTAATTCATTAAATCAAAATATGATTTGGATATAAGAATCTAGTGAGCTTCTTTTACTACCAAGATTGTGTGAATTTATCATTTTTCCTTCTGGGAATTAAGTGCCAAATGAAACAAGCAAAACAGTAGTCTGATTTGTTAGTTTCATTGAATTTATTACTTTGGATGAATTGAGTGTAAAATTCACTAAGTTGTATATAAATACAGGTGAACATGCCTAAGCAGAAAAATGCCTGCTTGATAAAAATTTGTAGCCTAAAATTAGTTAACTGCCGTAAGTATTGTTCACAAATTATAAAACTAAATATTGTTCTTATAGTAATAGAAAGGAAGGAGTTGAAATTTTTTTAGAAAGTTCAAGAGTGACCTTTACTGAAAACATTAAAAATTTGTTAAGTAAGGAAAACTACATGATTTACAAAGAATATTTCTAAAAGAATTTCACTTATAAAATTCACTTACAGGAATAAACTTCATAGCTGTAAAGGTACAGGAGATTTTAATCACATGCCTTCGTGTGGTTAAAAACAACTTGGAATGTAATTTTGTTATACGTTTACAAATTGAAATAATTAATTGTGTAATTAGTTGTTATGATTACTATTTGAAGTAGAAAGAGAAAATGTCATTAATATTCATTGATCATCTAAGTGTTGTTTCCTCTGGGTTGGGGATAAGACTAAATCTAAAATCTTTTTCTTGCAAAAAAAAATTATACAATGTCCATTACGGATCTCTTCTTCAAGCTCGAAGTAACCTCAGTAGAACATATTTATTTGGATTTTCCTAGGAGGAAAAATGTATATCTAATAGAACAAAACAAAATTAATGTTTAAATTACATATTTTACTGTTTTTATGTTTTCAAACTTCATCTATAAAGAATTTTGTGTTACATGTTAAAAAGTTAAACATTAAGAAAAATATTAGACTAGAAATGTTTATTTCTTCAATAATCATTGCAAGTATAAACTACTTAAGCACAAAAGGAATCATAAATTTCTTGTATTTCCTTCTACCAATCCTCTTTCCCTAACACAGGAATCATTATCTCAATCATGCTCTTATTCTTTCTCTTTCTCTCTTCACACAGTGAGTACTACTAACTGTATACTCCATTTGTCCCAAGAATAGATACTGTTTCACAGTGTACATCAACCAAACCCCTATAGTAATAGACGTTTTTCATTGTGTTCTTGTCTCAACATTTTTTGAGAGTATAAATACAGTGGAGATCAATACATATAGTTAAGTGATCAAAATGGACTGAGTTTATACAGTGTGCATTGTTAGTTTACAGAGATGTTTATACTAATCTACAGTATTCTTTAATAAAAATTATATTATTTAAAGTATGCAACATATGATTATGTCAGGATTCTGATCAAATTGCAATTTCATTAAACCAACATTATTTCTTTAAAAAGGGGAATTATATATTACTTCTACATTTGCCTTATTTTATTCAGTATTGTTTTCTAGAATTTAATAACTGGATGATGGAGGAAAAAGGATAAGTAAGGCAAACATTGCCCATGAACTCATGGTATTTATTTCTAGTAAGGAATACTGATAAATAAAAGTTAGGTAAAATAAAATGAAAAAAGTTCTTAGATACTCTATGGAGGAAACAACAATGGCTTTGAAGTAGAGAATAACA